TCTGACCGGATGAAACATATCGAAATGTTCGATACCTTTGTACGTTCTATGGCCATCTTATATTAATGAAATTTATTGACTAGCGATATGGATAAATATATATTTATTTAACCATTTCTTTTTATTTACTTGCTTTGCTTAATCGACTCGTGTTCATGATAATGGATCTTTCTTTTCATGTCTTTTCGTTTCTTTCTTTGTTTTCGTTTCTCCCACTTTCTCTCTTTCTCTCTCGAAGGAAAAATGAAAAAAAAAAAAAAAGAAAAAGAAGAGGACGAAGAAAGGAAGGATGAAATCGAAAGTCTGTTTAACCCTTATAAGAAGATAATAAATCGAAGATTATCCTTGTTCATTGTTATAAGAACGAGTGTGTATGATCATGAGATAAGAGATAAATTGTTTAGAAGGAAGGAAGAAAAATCTATTCTGAATTGTATCGATTATCATATGATATACTTATAGCCTATTGATATCGTCAAGCGATCAAGGGAAAAAGAGTAAAGGAAAGAGCGAAGGAAAAGGGCGTTTCAACGAGGAGAAGGGGATGGGGGGAGGGAGGTGAGTGGATGGGGGGCGAATGGGAAAAGACTGAACGAAGAAAAATAGGGAGGGTTTTCGATTCAACGCCGTTCTCATTTATCATTCGACCTCAAATGCCAATCTTCTTTTGGGTGGGATAATACAAAGCAAAAAGAAAAAGAAAAAAAGGAAGAAAAGTAAAAAAAAAAAAAAAAAAAAGAAGAAAAAGAAGAAGAAAAGAAAGGAGAAACAAAGATAAAGAAAGTCTCGAGAAATTCGACAAGATTATTATTTGTACAAGAATTAAATTCTCCCTTAATTATTTGCTTTTCTTTGTTTTGTTTGTATCTTTTTTTTTTTTATTTTTCTTTCTCTTCTAACTCTCTCTTCCTCCCTCAAAGAGGAGAAACATTAAAAGATCTTAATGCAGGAAAATCACTGAATGATAATCAAACTCCCTTATCCCTGCCTCTTCACCTACCCTCCCCACCCCCCACCACCCTCGTCGTCGCTTCCTATTTTGTTTCGTTTTCACCCCATTAGGCTTCTTGTTCTTCGATGAAATCTACCGTGAATACCGTTTCGTTTCGGTTAATCGACGAGATCGTCCGATCGATTTCGATTATCGAAGTCACGTTTAAACAGAGATCTTTGGCTCCTGCACAACTGTACATACATACATACATACATACATGCATATATATATATATATATATATATATATATATATATATATTCTTTTTTTTCTTTTCTTCTTTTTTTTTCTTTTTCTTTTAACGCGTTACCATTCTGTACGTGATCGAGGAAAAAGAAGAAGGGGGTTGAGGGGGTTGAAAGAAAAAAAGCAGCTAATGCGAGTCGCCATATTGAAAGGGATTTGGCAAGGTACCAATGATCATTCCTGTATCGGCAATATTCACCTCGTGTCGTTACACGAAAACGTAGATACGTATCCTATATATATTGTTATATATTGTAGTATTGTTCGTCGGTGTTGAATGAACTTTTTCATTAAAAAGAAAGAAAAAAAAACAACAAAAAAAGAGAGAGAGAGAGAGAGAGAGAGAGAGAGAGAAAGCAGAAAAAAAAGAAAGAAAAAGTATTCCCCTAGGTAAAGCACGTATCTATCGATTTTGCATAATACTTCATATAAAATTAAAAGTCATATCTTTCATCGATTATGACCATCTCCAAACCCTCATCATCTTCAACTCTCATGAGTGAAATTTTTCATATGACCGCTCGAAAATTCTTTATATCGTTAAAATTTATACGGCGGCGACGGTAGCGGGGGGCGGGAGCGAAGGCTGGAGGTTGGAGGTTCTTACGAAAAAGAAAAGAACGTTCTTTTCTCTTTCTTTTTTTTCTGGTTTTTTTTCTTTTTTATTTTTCTTTTTTTATTTTTTCTTTTCCTCTTATTTCTCTCCTACCGTCCTCTATCCTGTCGATTTTCGATCGATCGACGAATCAATGTTGTTCATTCAATTCTCTCGCAACGGAGAGATCGAGAGAGAAAATTCGTAAAGCACAGCGGGAGACTTAATCTTTTTCCCGTTCGTTTCGTTCGATTTGTCAGCGGATATCCCAAAGAGACGTGAACCAAATCGCGAAGTTTTCATCCGTTTCGCTATTTATTCAATTTATTGTTCTCTCTTTTTCTTTCCCTTTCTCTCCTCTTCTCTATCTATCCTCATTCTTTTTTTTATTTCTTCCATGTACGTATAGTCGTATAAAAAATATACTTTTCTCTTTTTTTTCTTTCTTTTCTTTTTTTTTTTTTTTTTACAGGTCAAACAATTCGATCTTTTGAAATCCTCCGGCGTAGTTTCGTATTTCGAGATGAAACGAGGGAAAAGTGAAATGCCAAAAAGAGTGTGTTTCGCAGGATCTCTCCATCAGAACCTAAATCTCCTTTGAACGTGGTCCAACGATAATAGTCAGTCCTCTCTTGGATTTACATCCGGTTACTGTAGGCCGGGGAAATGAAAAAAAAAAAAAAAAAAAGAGAAAAAAAAAGAGAAAAAAAAGAGAAAAATAAATCTCTCGTTATTTTTCGTTATTCAACGAGAGATCTGGAACGAGAAATAACGAGAGGAGTTTCAATCTCTCTCACGCATCGAAATTCGGAACGCGCTTGATATATCAAATGAAGTGACAAGAGAGAAGTAGAAAGTTGAAGAGAGTGCGAGGAGAGAGAGAGAGAGAGAGAGAGAGAGAGAGAAAGAGAGAGAGAGAGAAGTATTTGTAAGAGGGAGAAAATGCTTATGCCGTCATTCGATGCTTCCCCACGCTTAGTTGCACGTGCTATGCCATTACTACCGGCTCGAAAAATTCTCACGTATTTTTCCAACCTTTTTCTTACCTTCCTCCTTCTGATATCTAGTTTTCTAGATAAAACTTTCGACTGTTATCGATCTCCACCATCGCCACTTCCTTCTCCATTTCCTCCTTCGAGTTTACGAGAAAAATATATTGTCTTCGATATATAATATCTATACTTTGTCATAACGATAGAAAAAAAGGAGAAAGTGGTAACAACTTCGATATAATGGTAATATTGAGGAAAAAAAATAAGTAATAAGTAATATATATATATATATATATATATATATATATCCCGTGTACCGATCGTGAAGATTTTTTAATGTTCTATCGATTAATTGATAAAATATTTTTTTACGAAAACATTACTATCTACTTCTTCTTCCTTTTTTTTTATTTGTTTTTTTTTTTTTATTTTTTGCTTCTTCTTTTTTTTCCTCCTTGATTGCATTTAATCCTTTCCATGCGAGCGATCGATGGAAAGAGAATCGCACGAGGTTGTGCCCTGATGTAAAAGGAGAAGTGCCCAGCGATGGATCATCGTATAACTCGGAAATTCTATTGCGATAACTCGATCCAAACTGAAAGTCGACTTTGTGCTCGGTGAAACGTATAGAAACGACGTCGGACTCTATATTAATGGGTGGTAACTCATGGTAGCTCAAGAACGTAACCGCGAAGAGGGATAACTTTGAGTAGGTATATCAAAGTAAGCCAAGCGTAGAAAAGAGATAATCAATTTTATTTTGAAATCGAGAATGATTTTATAATCGGCTCTTATAAGTTTTTACTATTTAGTTTCTATAAAATTGGTTGGTCCTTCTTTCTTTTTCCTTTCAATCCCTTCTCTATCTTTTTCTTTTTTTTTTTTTTTTTTTTTATTTTGTTGTTTAATATGAACACCATGGGAGATCTTTGGAGTCCTCACGTACGCGGATATACGGGCAACCTAAAATCGAAAAGAGGGCTCGTGGGAAGCATAGTTTCTGCAGTGATTCGACAAATCGTCGAGAACTGCAGTCCGTTTGTATGTTCAGGTGCCAAGTGAAGGAGATCGGACCGACAAATTGCTCTAGAAACTTCGAAAAACATCGCTCGCAGATTTTAAGAATTCAGGAGGTTTGCCAAACGACAGACTTTCGTCGCAGACCAACAGACCGCAAAGAATTTAATGTCCCGAAGAAACGACTAATTTTCTATCTATGAAATTTACGAACCTGACGTACGCGATAATCTTATCTCATCCCAACCCCCCCTCCCCACGACGATCCCCATCCCTATTAAGATTTGTCATTATTAAATCATTATTTTTATTTTGGTATATGGTATATTAAGTTAAATGATTTTAATCGATCGTAATTGTTCGAAACTCTTGGATTAATATTTTATAGATGTTTTTATTTTAAACGTATTCATTTTTTAGATAATACAATTTAGCATTAACTTTAGTATCAAGTAATTTTTGTTTACCTTTGGAGTCGATTTGGATCGAGAGATGCTAAATTGACAATATCGACTGTTGATTCGTAGAAAATTACTTTACCGATGCATGCTTCGTGACTATATAGAAACCTGCAATATCGACGGACGTTAAATAAAATGATACACCTCTCGCTCGATAATCGTAGGAAAGATCTGTCTAATTTGATAATGATAGGGAACTACTTGAAAGAAAAAGAAAAAAAGGAAGAAAACAAAAAAGAACATTTTCTTTTTCATATTATTATTTTTATTAATTATATTAAATAAATCCTATTTATTAAATAACGCATAAATATTATATCAGATATATAAGCGTCGAATTATTTTCGTATAACGTTGTCAAGTGTTTAAATTATTCTCATAAATCTATAAACGTAGTCGGTGTGAGTCATAGCTTTTTACGTTTTAAGAGTTGTATTTTTTTTTCTTTCTCTCTCCTTTGAAAGAAACCGTTAAAATATTTCGCAAACGTATATAAATATTTAGCATGGAATGTGGTATATAATTTATTGTCAAAGAAGCGCGATTACCAGGTATGTATATTTTCCTTCCCACGTGTACCATGTGCTTTCTCTAATGCATGCCAATGACTTTTCAATGACGATAAATTCATTTTAACGTCGACAGTATCGTCGAGATAGTTCAGCAAGGTATTAGCAAAATAGAGTTCAACTTAG